AGTCGTTATGTAGAAAATGAACTTTACAACTTTGGTGTGGGGGGGGGCGTGCGGGGAGGATTGGATGGGGGGTGGGGGGAGGATGGGAAGGGATGGGAAGGGGAAACAAAGGCGGAGGCTACAATGCTTGATCAGAAATGTACTCATTATCTTGCCCATGTAATTGTAACCCCTCTGTACAGTATTTTCACAACAAAAATAGATAAATAAATAAAATCCCCAACAACAACAAAAAACCAATACATTATAACAACAGTTAGATAGCATGTGCATTCTATTAGGTATTATAAGTCATCTAGAGATGATTTAAAGTATATATGCAGGATGTATGTAGGTTATATACAAATACACCTTTATGTAGAAGGGACTTAAGCCATTTTTGTATCCTTCAGGGTCTGGCATCAATCCTCTGAGATAAAGCAATTGCTTGTATTTGAAATGTAGTCAAAGAAACATTGTAAACAAGGAACTGAATTTTAAACTGTAATATTTATATAAATAGATGCATTTGACACTTCCCTGTAGTAGTTTTAGACAGCTAAATTTTGGGTGGAAAAGGGCTAGATGTGTCCTTGTCCTGCCTGATGCCCACACTGCATTGAGAACTTGGTGACACCACACGTGGATGGACAGTCCATGAGTTCATGTCACCACCAGGGACTCTGTACCCAAATCAGGATGGACAACTAACTGCCTGACCTCCTCTGTGGCATGAAGTGAGTAATGGTCTCTTCTCAGGTTGCTTGGTGAGCCAAATGCATGCTCTACAGAGTACCCTGTGTGAACCTGGCCAATAAAACCTTATGTAGGAGCTTCCAGAATCTTGCAAAAAACAAACACCTATGAGCACTAGTGGGTCACACATAATCCTAGCCATACAGGGAGGCTGAGATATGAGGTTTGTGGTTCAAAGCTAGTTCAAGCAGAAAAGTTTGTAAGAATCTTACTTCCAATAACCACCAATCCCAGAAGTGGAACTGTGGCTCAAGTGGTAGTGTTAGCCTTGAACACAAAAGCTCAGGGACAGTGCCCAGGCCCTGAGTCCAAGCAACAGGACTTGGACACATACACACACACACACACACACACACACACACACACACCACACACACACACACACACACACAACCAGCCACCTCATTCTGAGAAGCTAAGAAAAGAAGTGATGAGGGCTGACAGGTAGGTTCAAGTTTTAAATCTCTCCTTGCGTGGATTTTTCTGTTTTGCAAAGAAATAGTGCTCTAAAGATATATTCCCTATCTGAACCTATAAAGCTACATGAATAGTCTAATTGGCAGACAACCAATTTTATTCCCAAGAGATAGCAAAGCTTACATTTTTCACCAAGTTCCTTTATTATTCAGAACATACTATGAATTTATGTATTAAGTTTCTCTACCCCACAACTACCTCAGATTTGTTGCTTTTTCTACTAGTGCCTGATTTTGACCTTTGATGATAATATTTCTGCCAATTAAGGGATGCCATTCAAGCCAGAGCAATTTTTTCTCCCCTTTATCTACTGTGTAATTGTTTCCTGTCTGGCAGCTAATATGTTGATAGCCCAATATTAACTTCATCACATCGGAATGACCAGACTTAACAGTTGTAACATTCAAGATTTATGACTTAACAAATCAGAGGATCAAATTGGAGGAAGTCCCATCTGTTGCATGCTTAGAGCCTGGGTGGAGTTGAGATTTCAAAAGCAGGGCTCTCAGCAAGGAACAGGAGAGTATGCAGGAAGGCAGGCAGGCCAACCCTGAACTGATCAATCTCACCATCAAACTATACCCTGTGGAGTCAGCATAAGCTGCAAATTGGGTGAAGAACATTTAGAACTAGCCTTTCATAGTGATTAGAGAAGATCCTGCCTGCCTCTTGCTGAACACCCAAGGAGGCCTGTAGAAATGTTCTTTTAATTGTTTAGCTTCATTTATAAAACTGACTTCAAGAGCTGGGTCTCACCTCAAGGTTTGTGTAGCTACTCAGAAAGCTAACATGTGAGGAGTGAGGCTTAAAACCAACCCAGGGAAGGAAGTCTATGAGACTCTTATCTCCAATTAACTACCCCCCAAAAAAACCCCGAAGTGAAAAGTGGTAGAGTATCAGACTTGAGCTGAAAAATCTAAGGGACAGCACCTTGGCCATGAATTCAAGCTCTAACACACACACACACACACACACACACGCACGCACGCACGCACTGACTTGGAGGGAATCCTGCTTTTAGATAGCTCAGAGAAAGACTGTGAAAGACAGGTAAAAATGAAAATGTTGCTGCCTGTGGAAGGTATAGCTTATGATGACAAAGTCTTTTGTTCTCTCTTATTTCTTTTCAGAGGCATTGATCATTTTATTAATTTTTGAGATATTTGCATTTAAATTGACATGTAAGAATTGCACACAATTAGGGAGTATAGTATGACATTTTAAAGCACAGATACAGTGAATGATCGTGGCATTTGGCATGTCCAATGCCCCAGGCATGTGATTTCTTTGTGATAGAAACATTTTAAATCAGGCATACTGGTTATTTTAAAATATGCACTAATGATTCACACTGTAATTCTAGCTATTCAGGAGGCCAA